ATAATCCTACAGCTCCCACTTACTCAATTCACAGCTTAAACTACTATGTTCCAAACATGACAAAGATCTTCGCTCAACTAATAATCATTTGCTCCTGTATCTAATACACACTTCTTCTCTCGTTCATTCTTCTTTTACTGTCCAATCTATAGTACTATGGAATGCGCTCCCACTCGGGAACAGGATGTCGACAAGTCATGACACGTATAAAGCCAAAGTCCAAGAACTTTATAAGAAACTTATATTCTGTATGTCTATTACAAAAATATGTATTTGTGTATTCGTCTATGTAGGTTTTTTTAAATGGCACTATCAAGTGTTATTTTAATATTTTTAAATGCTTAGTTTATAGCTTCATTGTACATATGCACCTGCCATGTCCCTTACTGAACTATCTAAAGGTTGAGTGGCAGATAATGCCACGTGGTATTAAGTCCGCCTCGTGCAAAATGTTTTTTTTTAAATAATATATCTCACACATCTCACACACGGCCGTCTGATCCCAAACTAGGCAGAGCCTGTACTACATAACAAACGTACATATAATTTTTTTAAAGAGTAACATATTATAGATAAATTACACCCAGACAAAGAACAAATGACCGTGCTCATCACACAATATTTGTCCTGGGTGGGAATGGAACAAACGACCTCCGGTTCAGCAGTCAGGGTCACTAACCACTAGACTAACAGTTAATAATGAAGGTTAAATATAAGTATTAATTCCAGTCTCAGTGGCTCCTATCAATCACTACCTAGCTATTCCTAAACTTCCAAAATCGATAACTTTTTTGTCCTATCTTTTTTTCTGTGCAGAAATTCCCTCGGATACGTGTGTTGGCGTCCTACACTACGTCTTAGGGACTAACTAAATTACTACTTACTGATGATTTACTGTTTTATATGTTTAAAAAATAATCAAAAAATACTGTTTTATATATAAAACAGTAATTTTTGATCACAATTTTTCATAAAAATACTATAATATTCTTATTTCTTACACTAATATTTTAAAACTATAAAAGAAAACACATTTGTTACGACAATAAATAGTCTTTATTTACAAAAGTTATACAATATTGGAACATTTTAGGCCTCCTGGCAGCTAAGTACCTACTAAATGTAGAAAATTACGGAGCAATTTCTAGCAAAGACTTTAGGGCAATTCGTTTTATTTGAAACATTAGCTGCGAAACACTCGCGCCTTACCCACTCAATATAAGGCTCTAGTTGTTGTAATACGATACGAATTTCTAGGGACCTTTAGAAACGATACTGTCAACTTAGAAACAAAAATTGAGAGCAAATTAGGTTTAGTTTTGTTTTTTGAGATCATTTTTCGGTCGTATTCTTTTTCGTTCTCGTCCCTAGAGATTAGATCGACCTTTAAATTTCAACACCACTACAATGGTACAAATTTAATAAACATTAGCTTATTCAAAAGTAGCTAAATATTTATTTGAAATTTACGGTGCTTATTCAATTTTGGCACTAAGTTAAGTAAGCATTGAGCAGATAGATGATAAAAGAGAATGGAAGAGGTAAACTTATTGAACCGACTCCAAAATTCAATTCCAACGTCAGTCTTGTTAAGTAACTTCTACACAATAATTACATATATAACCGTAGGAGACTGGCTGGATGTTTTGGCTTATATAGTGTCTCTCGACTGGAGTGTTACCACCACGGAGCAAATACAATGAGGAGAAGAATTAAGCAACTGTACACTGTGATTTTAACTAGGTCCTGACGTCATCACAGTGGGCGTGGCTTAAAGTTAGTGCACTCAGCCTCCGTACCGTGCGCTTGTGTGACAAAATCGCAAATTGTTATATTTTCGTGGTATTAAGAAGAAAAGGATGAAATTTCGTATTTAATCGTGTTAAAATTATTTGGGTAGATTTCTTTTGCTATGGATGGCATCACATTTCATTTGTAAGTAATTTTGTACTTAATTTATTAAAATAGTTTTAGAAAAATCTCTTAGTCATTTTTAAAAATACTCGTATAGTTACATTTATTAGTCACTAGATGACTAAACTTTGGTAATGGAAACTAAAAGCACAAAGATACGTTTTTTCTTTTTTTATAATAGAGGGGGCAGACGAGTAGAGGGAAGTGCTCAGCTAATAGAAAGTGACCATCGCCGCCCATGAACGTCTGCAACTCAGGAGTCACAAGGCGTTGCCGGCCTTTTAGGAAGGAGTATGCTTTTTTCTCGAAGGTTTGAAGGTCGTATCGGTCCAGAAATACCTTAGACGATAACCCGTTCCACAGTTGGTTGTGCAAGGCAAAAAGTATCTCGAAAATCGCACAGTAGTGGAGTGCCATCTATCGTGTAGAACTCAGTTTTAGTAAAATAATACTAATTAATTAAATTACTATTTGATTTGCTCCGTGGTTACCACATCTCACAGAAAACCGATAAGAAGCCATTTTTTCACCGAGTGAGTGAGGTCACAGGAAATTTATTCCCCCGTTCCACTAACCCTAGCGTGGAGACCCAAAAGGCGTAAACGCACTTGTGACTGTTAAGTTACAGATATCTATAGATGGTGGTAGCCACTTACTTTCTGGTGACAAACCTGCTCATTTGCCCGTTATACCAAAAAAAAAATACATATCAACGTATTTTTTTTAATATAGACGTGGTCATCGACCTTAAGAACTATAGTTGCATTGTCCGTTAAACATGGGCGCTATAAGTCTAATAGGCCTAATATTTATTATAAGTTACAATGGATCCCATTCGCACCTCCTCTAATACCAAACAACAGCAATAAATTTTACTACATTTAATCTGTAAACAACAAGATAAACACATTAAAGTTTGAATGGCACTCAAATAAATAATGCTTTTATCACACATATAAAGGCACAATCCAAGGACAAATTCTGATTAAGCCGTTTATCTAATATAAGTTTTATTAATTTTCAAATACATAAATGGTGGAGATAATTCATTACTGTTGCTTCTTTGAGTAGAAATTAACAACATGTATGTATATCTGAAATCGGTCAGACCTCACTTAAAAAATAATATAATATTGTAAACAAAACGTAAACATAATTTAATTAAAGTATTTGAAACAGCCAACAATATACTCTTAAATTTTCGCTAGCTTTGCCCGCGTCTTTGCTTGCATTATGTAGATTTCGTCAATCAATTTAGGAAGGAGTATTTTTTTGGGATTCATCCTAAAAAGAGTACTGCTTTCCAAATTGACTTCTCCTATGTCCTTTTCTTTATATCTGACTACGTGTATGTAAATCTTTAATTTATTTATTATTAAGCATAAAAAAACAAACTCGATTTCGTCTTTACATTATTAGTTAGGATACTTTTGCAATTTTTATTATCTACAACTTAATTTTTTTATCCGTGTGGTGACGGATTAAGAATACGGAGTGTCGCCGCGCCAATTGATCTCGTGGGTGTCGTAAGAGCCGATAAGGGAGGAAACTACGCAGGACAACATCACTGCAAATAGAAGGAAAACTTGAAACAAAAACTATACCAACCCGTCTGGCCAGTGCGGTATAGTAGGCCAAAACCTCCTTTCTAAGGCCTGTGTCCAGCAGTGGACTATTAAAGGCTACTGATGATGATAACATATTTTTTTAATTATAACATATTTTATTAACCTACGCGATAAATCTTTCAAATATAACATTCAACACATAATACATGAATGTAGGTGTTGTTAGTGTAAACTAGGTATTATGTTGCATGACTGTTTTCTCTCATTGTATCACACTTTTTTCTGAATTATGTAGTCAAAAGTCAGTAATATCAATGCTTTTAAGTTTCGAGGGTTTGGCTTGTAACGACACCCATTATTGTCTTATGTTAGTAGTGGAAATTTTCTAACTTGGCATCATCATCAACAGCCTTTAGTAGGCTAGTTGCTCTACATTTTAGCCTTCTACCATATTAGATCAGTAGATAGATTAGATTGTAAAGCACTGTACACAATTTAGTTAAATCTTAAGATTAATATTCAAGTGATTTATAAGTCAGATTTAAAAAACACTGATTCCATTTTTGGGTCAAATCGTAACATACGCCGTGTTTTGGCAGATAATGACGCTAGATCTAGCCGAGCTTATTTCATTATATAAAGTACTTATATTTTCAGGTTAATGACTTGGAATGAATATCATGTAATTTTCTGTAAACTCTTTGTTATTTAAGCAAAAAATTAAAAACCTGAGAAGTCAAACACTAAAATCTTCCGAAATATAACAATCCGAGAATAATTAAAAGTGACGAATTTGGTATTATACCTAATTTGGTATATCTATACTCTTAGTTTATATATAAAATGGGTAAATAGAGTTATTTAAAAATCCTAGTTTTTACTTGTAATAAAAGTTTCGTGTGTAATAAAAGTAATCTTTTAATGAGTTTTCAAAACCGATCACAGAAAAATTTAATTGATAAAATGATACTTTAGTATATAAAAGCTTTGTTACGACTTTAGAACAAAAATGTTACCGACTCACGTTCTAAAACTGTTTTTGTTTGCAGCTCTCCTTTAGGTTCACAAATTCCTGGCAAGTAGATAGGCCACTTATCAAAGCCCTTTTTCTGGAGCAGTATAAATATTAAGCTGTAATAATGTATTGCTTTATTGTTTGGTGTTATAGTGAGGGACGTGTAAACGTCTGGTTATTCCTAATTATACTTTAAATATTTATTAAAAAGAGCGAATTTAAGAAAAAAAACAAACTCTTTTTGTTTAGAACATAATTCACATTTAGATGTAAGCACATTTATCAATTCAATATTATCTTATCCTTTTCTTAACAAATTCTACTTGCCAAGCTGAAAATAATTATATGACTGAAGCATACGACACATTTTACAACGCATCAGGCGAAATGCTATTTATCAAATCGTAATGAAAATTATTCTTACGATAAAAGTAACTATTATAGGTAATACTCATTGATACAAATAGAAAGTGAAACACCGTTCAAAAAGTTCAACATACAAAATGAGTGAAGAAAATTCTAAATATTCCATACAGAACACCTTAAGATGGATTTGGAGAAACAAATTAATAATTTTTCTATCTCTTTTATCATTTTCCCTGTCCATTTCTACCTGGACATTATCAAGTCATGGAAATAATATAAACAGCGCACTGCAAACCTGTAGAAGCAGCTTGACTGAGGCAGTGATAGCAGCAGCAACTTGTGCCGCCAGCGCAACAACTGAATCAGCAACGAACCCTATTTCATCAGAAAAATCAGCAAATACAAGTCCTGGACCAGAAAATACTCCATCGGATGAAGAGAACGATAGCTACACGGTAAATGAATACTTTAAATAGACACTTATGATTCTGACAAATCTTGAAAGTTTGATGTTTCTGCGATTATTAGTTTCCACATAGTATTAACTGTGGTATGAACTAAAATAATTTATGTACACCAGGTATAATTTGGAGAGTAAAACATAGGTATTATATAAGCATACTTTGCCATAAACACAATATTTTAATGGTTGTGGCTTCAATTGATCTCCTATTTGACAAATGTAATTTAAATAATAACTTCACTATGGAAATACATTTTTCGTTGATAATATATGTATTTAAATTTTGACCGAACAGTGTATCAGGGACACATGTTAGAAAAATGAAATGATTCAGTGATATTTGTGATTTTAATTATAATGTTGTAATATACACATATGTATAACTGTGAAAGTAATGACATAATATATATATTTTTGAACATGAGCTTCGACAAAAGCATGAAATCTTGAGGTGTTCATAAGGAAATTTATTGTACGGAGAGGTATTCTATATTCAGTCTTTCCTAAAATTTTATAGTTTTTTACTTAACAGTCAATGATTTAGTTGTTTATATAATATATTTTAAAAGTATATGATTTTTTTTGTTATTTATCTTAAGTTAGTTCTAATTTATTATTTAAAGTTGTTTTTTTTTTATTTGAAATATTTACATGAATAGTATAACGGACTTAGACTTATTTTTGTATGCACGATGTTTATTTTTAACCAACTTCAAATAGGACGATGTTTTCAATTGGACTGATTTTTAATATAATGTGGGATATTTTCGAATTTTTTAAATCGCTTTCTATTGCTTTTTTTTTTTATTAAATTGATTGAACTCAAGGAAAATCAAGTATATCAAAGTATATCAATCAAGGTGGATCTTCTTTCAAATTTGAAGAAAATATTTTACTTCTGGTGGATGATTTAGGGATAAAGAAAACTTATTAATGATTGCTATTTATCAAGATTTAAACGCACTGTCATTTTATGAGATGTGGGTAATTTATTTTATGAATTTAATCGTTTGTTTTAAGTTAAAAAACGTGATGTGTTTGTGTGTGTTTTTGTGAATTACCATATAACACATGAATTACCAAACAACAACCTATCACAATACGAGTATTATCCATAAGCGCAGCCCGCTAGGTAGATCACCTTGCCGGGTACGATGATCTTCCCTTGGTGTTAGAGTGGACTAAAACCCACTTCTCCACACATTTTAGCTTATAACGGTATGGTAAAATGAAGTTTTAAACGACAAAAAAGATGCTTAACGTGCAATGTTCGATTTAAAATATTTATATACATTCTATTAAACATAGAATATGAACGCTACAATCACTATATATTTAAGAAGTTACTATATTCGTCAGAATAATCACAATTCCCTTCGAAAATTAAAATACTTTAATTACTGAAGCCGACAAAACTTACATAGACAGCATTTAAATATAGAAGCATATTCTGCGTGGCTTCAATTGTATTAAACCATGGATCTCAAAAGGTAAAAAAAAAAATGAATGTGTTATGGGCTCCGTTAACTTCACTCGGTAAATAGCAACGAAAAAATTGCTTAACACTGATTTTCTGAGTGGCTTTATTTCCAGCAGAATACTTCTACTCTTATTATAACTGTTAATAATTACATTTTATCGGAATTAATTCGAATTTATCACAAAATACTACAAATGCTGTTAATGATATGTGATAATAAAGAATATCAATCAATATTATTAAAACACACTACATTTTATATGTGTGTCATATGTTAATAATAAGTAAATTTTATTTCTTTAAGTTATTCGATATTTTGTTACTTGTTGATTATGTTCATTGATAAATATTTTTGTTTACTTGAAATTTTGTTTTTATTCCTTATAATTTGTAACAACTGAAATGTTGAACAGACATTGTAGGTAATCCGTAAAGAAAGCTATTTTACCCTTAAGAAGGGTAATTATATCTTCATCCACCACCAACAGCTAGGAATCAGAAGAAGAAAGACAGTAAAAACATTTAATTTTCTGTGATTGTAAACTAGTTGCAATAATGAATGTAAATACAGCAAAGGCATAGCGACTAGAAACAAAAATAGAAAATAGATAAAATATATCGAGGCAATTATACTTATCTACAAAAATCAAATTCTTAACTAATCTAATCTAATTTTGAACTATTGTCAAAATGTTAAATTTAGTACTTAGATCAGTTTTAGTGATAACAATAAAAAATGACGTAATAAAAATTTTATCTACGAGGAAGTGATGGTTCCACGCAGTCTAGGCTTACAAATACGAAGTATTTACACAGAGAGATTATATTACAGTACAAATTGTTTAAAAGTAAACCAATTTGTTTTATTTATTTTCTGTTAATCAGCTTCAATAGACAGACATTTTTTTTTTTTTTTTTTTATTTAATAAAATGAAATGTTAAAATTTTCTTACAAACATACTACACATATATACATTCGTACAAACATATACATACATAAAGTCTACGTCAACAAGCCATGGACTGTGGAAGAACACAAGATCACTATTCCTAAGCTAAGCTGCTATAGAGACCGCAACACTTCGCAAAGTGATGGAAAATTCTAAAAAACGAGCTCATTACGCCATTCGTTGTAAGGGCCGTCATTTAAACGATATCGTCGTCAAAAAATGATACAAACTAGTTAACAAGATCCATAATAAACGACTAATCACTTAACAGCTAATAAAAAAGGTTTTTTTTTTCAATATTTATTAAACAAATGCTAACACTTTAATTTTTCACCCAAAACGTTTTCCACCAATTGAGCTCAAATTTAAGATTTGACAAATATACAAAACGCTTCGAATATATTGTTTAGCCTTTTTTGCTTCAGTTTCGTTCCTCATTTCTCGTCAATGCAACTACATTGTGGCAGCCACAGGTATAGCTAGTATAAAATTAAATGTTGTACAGAGAAACGTCACAGTTGGATAAGATATTGTACATTAATAGTAATGTGTATTTTGATATTATTATTGAAGTTTACTTAGAGGTACATGAAGGATATTTTAAACTTTTACTGTATTTTTTTTTTTGTTGTTGAGGTGGAAAATCTCTTGCTCCTTGGGGACGCCATCATAACGATGTTTCTACTAAAAACTACTCAGACGACTGATCCCAAGCGCCCTACTCTGGAAGTGGAATTCCCCATAAGGTTCGCATTGTAGTTCGGAGGATCTACATAATGGTGGATATCCAACATTTCTCCTCAAATTGCCCCAATTTGTGATAAAAAACAAGCCCAGCTTTTCACTGTACTGTTTTTATTACATTTCCTTGCAACAAAGAATTCAATTTTCTTCCACTGTCAATTTTACTTTCCTTTACTAGAGAAGGGGGAGTACTAGTTCGCTGTCATCTGGAGACTTTCAGAAGGGTACGTGGAGCTTCAAGTTTCAGAAAATCTGATCTAAAGCAAAAATAATGTTACAAATCAAATCGGTAAAGTACGAGATCAATGCAATGAACCTTATATAACTCTCGATCTCAGCTCAAACTCAGCTCAATAACATGCAAACACATTGCACAAATAAATACTATTATCTAAAATTGATTTTTTTCTGAGCTCATTCTTTAACTGTGCAACAGCAGTTATTATACGCAAGTGTGTGCATTCGATTAGATACTTTCGTGTGTTACGTGGTTGTACGAATTTTACTGCACGGATTTGGTAGTGGTTTAAGCGGTCGCCACGCCGCTCACTACTACGCTGAGTGTAGTGGGACAACATTTTGTGTGATCCACAAATTGTTATTCTGAGTCTGGGTGTTTGTTGTGTCCGTTTCATGTATGTTCGTAAAGTCCCCCGCGACACAGGATATATTCCTAAAGCGGAAGTTGTCTTAAAAAAAGGAAAAAAAACAGTGAGCCATCTATTCTAAATATAAAATAATTTCTAAACGGTGTGATAATTCTATAATATAATTAATAACCTTAAAACCGAAATATAAACATAAAATACAAGACGGAAGAAATAAAAATCGTACCACATTCAGTGATTAAACATATAGCAACATTTTCAAAGTCAAGGTATTGTAAAGTTTAAGGTATTCTAAGGACTTTGAGATAACAAAATATGGAAGTTGTCAACATCTAACATCCCTAATCATCAATAAAAAAGTAAGTACGAACTAAAAAGTCTGCAAGACGACATCAAAAGTAGAAAGGACCTTGCCACTCAAAAGCATTAAACTTAATTTGCTTAAACTTAACTTAACTTAAACTTAACACCAAGCTTGTCTCTGATTCAACTTATTTAGGTGGCCAAAACAAACAGTGTGTGCTGTAAGTAAGTAATTATGTAAGAACGGCTACATAAAGCTGGGGACCAGAATATATTTTAACTTTTTACAGCTGAAAAGTCTATAGCATGACATCTTAAGTTATACTGTAAAATTAATAAAGCAAGGCGATGTCTGACTCTAGGCCAGTAGTTGCAGTAAGTGGCCTAAGTTGTAATAATAAAGAAAATATGATACTTTCATGTTTTATGCCAATGACATTTTGATTTTTAATATTTAAACTTTTATTCTAAGGACACTATTCCTAGTCTAAAACAGAAGCTCGTTTTATTAAATAAACCGAGGTTAGTTGAGTGCACTTACCGCATTTTTGACCAGAGGCCAAAGTGTTGTGCGGTTTTTCATTTTAAGAGTTTACTTCAAGATCGTTTTAGTATACAGTTAAATAACAGTATTTATACATTTCATACTGTCTTTTTAATAATGTAAAGTATAGTATTAATGACATTTGTTTGTAAAGCCGTGAATTTTTTGACTTTCTTTCAGATACCGACATGAGCTTTTTTTTTAAACAGAGAACTACCACGAAAAACATAAGGTCACTAAAAGAGTGACATGATTTTTTATAGAACATTGACGTAGCGATATACTTTATCATAGAAGTTATTATAAAAATAAATGGAGATTGGACTATGTAGTGTTTATACAACCATACGTTCTGGAATATAAGAGAATATAAAAATGTAAGAG